ACTCACACTTGTCCACCCACACTCACCCCACACCCATACCCACTCACACCCACACCCCACCCATACCTACCCAGACCCACACCCATCTGACGAAACCCTCAAGCAAGGTCGAAATCTAGATCATGGTTTGCTAGACTCACACCCACCCTCAAGATAGTAGCCTGTTATGGTCGAAAAGCTTTACGAGTCTCCTCGCTTTCATTCTCCGCTTATCGAGGTTTTTTTCAACAATATTGAGATAAGGAGAAAAAGTTTGCTTGCATTCAGACACCTTCTTTTTTTTGGTCTCTACTTTTACCATCTTATCGCATTTGCCTTTGGACGTCCGTTGCGAATGCTATCTCTTTTTGCGAACAACGATGAGTGAATGTGAGAAGTTACGAATTGGCAAAGAATTTCTTGCTAGCCATAAATGGCCTGTTGCTTTGCGTAAACCAGTCAATGATCGGTGCTACTGCAATTGCTGCTATCCGTCCTCTGATAAGGACACGTACTATGTTGGTGGTAATACTTATGTCATTCCGCGTGGATGGACTCGTTTTGGTGTAGCCGTTGACGAGCCATTTGCCAAGCACCATAATGTATGGAATGCATGGGCCAACTGCTACCATGGAACAAGCATCGAAAATGCTAAATCAATAGTTGAACACCGGCAACTACTTCTACCTCGTGATGTAACATTGGATGGCAAAAAATTGCAAATACGTGAAGGTCATATTCCAGGAGAATACTATTTCTTTACTACGCCGACAATAAGGTATGCCGGCCTTGATTATTATGCTTACACGTATAACTTTACATCGTCGACAAATAATAAGCGTTACAAGATCAAAGTGGCACTCCAATGCAAACAAAAGCCAGACTCTTTTACTGTTCAGGCTGAAACAGTGGGTGCACGTGGCCGACAACAGGTAATATGCCCACATGTGTCAAATGATCGAATGGAATGGAAAACACAACAACGGTCGGCTATTATGCCATACGGTCTAATGCTTCAGATAGAGAATGAGTGTGACCAAACGAATAGCTGCTCTCAAAAGATCAAGTGTCCCCACTGTTCACAATCAAATGTGTACAGCGGCTACAAAGAAGGAAAAGTTGTCACTTGCGCGTACAAGACCTGCAAAAAAACATTTCAACAGATTAACTGTCATCATTGCTCTCGCCCTCTCATTTGGAAAGATGCGAATTACAAGGAAGGAGCTGTTATCACATGTCCGCATGCGGATTGTAAGAAAACATTTCAACAGATTAACTGTCATCATTGCTCGC